GTGTTAGGGGTTCGGGGAGGTTGGGAGAGCGAGAGTTGTTGAGTCTCTGGCTGTCGGGTGTGGAGAGACGGGTTGGCACCGTGGAATCCCACGGAGGCAGTGAGTGTGCGTGCGGTGTGGCTGGGCACTCGGCGGACGCGCGTGTGAGTGTGTGTGACGGGAAGGCAGGTGATTCCACGTACACACCACCAACAGTGATGACCCCGACTCCTCCGCCGTCTCTTATAGTCTGTGGGCCAGGCTTACTATCCCCTCACCCCTCCCATACCCGTCAAATCCACCCCCCCCCCACCCCTACCCCTAAATATCACCCACCACCCTGTTTCAAATCCTCTCCTTGCCCGTCACGCCCCCTCTTCTCTCCCTTGCGTGGGTGTCTCTCTCCCACACTCTTCGGCGATTACATATTGGTCATTGCCTGTTTGTAGGAACTGGAGCAGTGACATATGCACATGATGTTACATCTTCAGTGGTTCCCGTTGATTTGTTAACCAAATTCTTTATGAGGAAATGGTATGGTGATACCGACAAGATGTGGAAAAAGACACTTATGTACAGTTCAGGACATTTATTAAAGGAAAAGTTTCGCCACGAGTGGCTTCTTCTTCTTAGGACTGAAGAAGCCACTCGTGGCGAAACGTTTCCTTTAATAAATGTCCTGAACTGTACATAAGTGTCTTTTTCCACAAATTCTTTATCTCTGGTGTAAACTATAAGCAAAATCTATAGCATGTCCTTTAGCAAGCTCACTTTGAGAAAAAGTCCGAGGTCCTGTGTTATTGCTGTTACGCGGGAACTCTGAGTCATCACTGTCACTACCTGTTAGAGATTAGAGGAGTGTTTTCAAGGTTTTCAAGTAGTATTGGCACTTTTATGTCTGGTCCATGAGCAACGAGTCATTGTGGATGCGGGGAACAATCTTCCGAGTAGGGTGATTGAGGCTAGGACTTTGGTAGCTTTAAAAAGAGATTGAACAAATATATGACTGGGAGGGGCTGGGTCTCATTGGTATCATTGGGTACGGGGGTAAATTCTTGGGTAGCTTTGGGTAGGGGTGGTTTTGATAAGGACCTGCCTTGTATGGGCCAGTAGGCCCTCTGCAGTGTTCTTCCATTCTTATGTTCTTATGTTAACAAATTTCCGGTGGTTACAGCACATACCTCCTCCTCCTCCTCCTTCTGGTTCTTTTCACAGGAATATATCCCTCCATGAATACATATTTTACATCTTTAAGCATCACTTTTTTCGCAGTTCACATTTGTGGTCTTTTGTTCGTGTCTCATTTTTTCTATGATCTTATAAGTAGTTATCATGTCCTCCCATTTCCTGTCAACTCACTCATACCTCTTAACACTGTGACCTTATTTATAACATATCTTCAGATTTCTTTTTATATTTGCAGACACCACATTACAATGGAATATCCCAGGTGAGTTTTTAACGTATGTAATGAACAGCTTTTCTAGGATTTCACAATCCGTATCTAAAAGTTAGTTCAAGGTTGTCCAGAATAGCAGAGATTTCACACTGCTGTATTCACGTGATAATCCTGTGTAAAAAGCTTTCAACATTTCGTCACAGTCTCTATTCTTTGTGGGTCTCGGCATTATAGTCTGTTGTGTAACCATTACACTGGAATTGCATTAAGTTTTAATATTATTGTGTAGCTGTATTAATCTATCCAAACATTTTATGGGAATTTATGGAAATACAAACACAAATGCAGTATAATGTGATCCTTTATTGACAACGTTTCACCCACACAGTGGGCTTTTTCAAGTCACACACGGATCTACCTGGGGTTGGAAGGCACGGGAGTATTTATAGTCATGTTCAGAATGTTGAGGTCAGGTGGAGAATGCTGCATCTGATGATCTACCGGGTGGGGTTATAGAGTCTTGGGTAGCTAGGCAGGGGTATTGGACAAGTTGTGAGTAGACCTTCTGCAGTGTTCTATGTTCTAAACTCTTGGGCACTATCAGTCCAGCACATCTCAAACACTCAGGTAATCTTCTCAATCGCATTCGCAACATCAACATCAGGAACAAGAAACTTTCCAGCCTTGACGTGACTTCCCTATTCACCAAAGTACCTACTACACAAGCCATCGATCTCTTGCGCAGGAAAATTGACGATTCACTTGATCTTCCCATTCCAGCCAGCGATTTCATCGACCTTGTTGAACTATGTGTTGGCTTTACGTGTTTCTCTTTCGAAAATCACCTCTTTCAGCAGACTTTTGGACTACCCATGGGTTCGCCACTCAGTGCAGTCCTGGCGAACCTATACATGGAACATCTAGAAGCCTGGCTCCGTTATGTTGACGACATTCTCCTCATAACTCCTAAACGCTTCAACCTTCAAGCTCTCCAAGACAAGCTCAACCAGGTCGAGCCTTCAATCCAGTTCACACTTGAAGAAGAAGTCGACAACACTCTTCCTTTCCTTGATGTTCTGCTCTGCAAAGCTGACCACGAACTTCGTTTTAAAGTCTATCGAAAACCCACCAACCAAAAAGATCTTCTCCACTTCTACTCTCACCACGACACCAAAACCAAACGTGGTGTAATTATAGGCTTCTTCCTGCGTGCACTCAGAATCTGCAGCAACGAGTTCCTTGAGGAAGAATGCACTATAATTGAACAAGTATTTTCTAAACTCCACTATCCTCGTCACTTCATCAGAGACTGCAGACGGCGGGCATTAAACATCTTCAACACACCCAGAGAAGACACTGCCGAGAAGAGATACATAGTCCTTCCCACCAACTCCATTGCCAAACATGTTTCCAACATCTTTGCCAAAACATCATTCCAAGTATCTACCTCCACAACCACGACCATCAAGGACATCACCAATAGTAGACAGGACAAGCCTCCATCCTCTGCAGGGGTATACATAATCCCTTGTAATGACTGCAACAAATTATATGTGGGCGAAACATCAAGAGACCTCCAAACACGTATTTCAGAACACCAATATGCAAGCAGGACTGACGATACAAGGAATGCCTGTGTACAACATCGCAATTCACACAACCATTTAATTAACTACAAAAACTCAAGATTTATCGCCACAGAAGACAACACTCAATACAGAAGAATCCTGGAATCATCGCTTATCTCTATAACCAACAATTTCAACCAGAACAATGGCTTCTATAACATAGCTGAACCACTCGCCAAGAAACTTCTTCATCGCTATCCCACATAAGAACATAGAACACTGCAGAAGGTCTACTCACAACTTGTCCAATACCCCTGCCTAGCTACCCAAGACTCTATAACCCCACCCGGTAGATCATCAGATGCAGCATTCTCCACCTGACCTCAACATTCTGAACATGACTATAAATACTCCCGTGCCTTCCAATCCCAGGTAGATCCGTTTGTGACTTGAAAAAGCCCACTGTGTGGGTGAAACATTGTCAATAAAGGATCACATTATACTGCATTTGTGTTTATATTTCCATTTGTGTCGGTATTTTTATACCATTTATTTCCATGGGAATTTATAATGGCTTTTATTAACTATTTCGCACATTTTTTATCCATTCTGGAGAACATCTGTGTGAATTAGAAACGTTCATCAAGGTGAGTATAGGTAACAAATTTGTCAAGATGTGTTTTTTTTCTCTTACCAATGTTCGCATGTTCCCTTTAAGCGAAAAAAAACAGAAATCTGTCTTACTTATACAGGTAGCAAGTTGGTAGAACATTAACCATCAACAGAGGTCCTACCGTTGTCCTCTGTTGGGAATAAGAAACGGAAACCTGTGTCCATGAATGTTACTGTTTGCACTGCCTCGACAAAGCTCCTAATGATCGAAACGTAGCCACACTAAATAACCTGGCTGCACATGCGTCTATTTACTTACCTCAAAAATAACACTTTTATCTCTTTAGAAATTGTGGTTGAAATTTTGTGTTTTGTTTGAACCTGACTGATCATCCAGACGACTTTTATTGTGATAAAGTTGGTAGAATTACCGACAATATGTAAAGTAAAAGGACACAAGTGCAACTAATGTGACATTTATTGTGGCAACGTAATGGCTTGATAAAGCTCCTGGAGAGCGAAACGTTGCCACAATAAATGTCACATTAGTTGCACTTGTGTCCTTTTACTTTACGACTTTTATTGTGACCGAGATCCCAGATTAGGATTATTTTCGCTTTCTTCTGGTGGCTTTTCAACGAGAAATTTAATACGTAGATCAGTCCTCGTTTGTTAAATTATTATTATCTTACGTGTGTTGGTAAGTAGTGTAGTTCATGCTTTTACTTGTAATATTATTCCTGGTTTTATTATAAGAGTCTCTCGTTAAAATTTTGTCATGTGTTTTGTATTATTAATTTTGGGATGTTATTTATTTGTATTATAAATTTTGTGATGTTATTTATTTGTATTATAAATTTTGTGATGTTATTTATTTGTATTATAAATTTTGTGATGTTATTTATTTGTATTATAAATTTTGGGATGTTATTTATTTGTATTATAAATTTTGGGATGTTATTTATTTGTATTATAAATTTTGGGATGTTATTTATTTGTATTATAAATTTTGGGATGTTATTTATTTATATTATAAATTTTGGGATGTTATTTATTTGTATTATAAATTTTGTGATGTTATTTATTTGTATTACAAATTTTGGAATGTTATTTATTTGTATTATAAATTTTGTGATGTTATTTATTTGTATTACAAATTTTGGAATGTTATTTATTTGTATTATAAATTTTGGGATGTTATTTATTTGTATTATAAATTTTGGGAAATAGGGATATTATTTAGGTAAGGCAACTATGCCTCCTCAGTACTAAGTTAGGTTAGGTAAGTTTTGTCAGGAAACAAGACAAGTGTGTCCTGACGCGGGTCTTAGTTATATGATGACCCGCCGCTGGAGCTTTTGGTCATTTGACCGAGGCCTTCCGCTGGCTTACCGGTTCACTCCTTTAAAAATTATGGTTAGGATTATAACTATTTTATAACATTGTGTACTAAGTACTGTACTTTCCGCCAGAAGAAGACAAATATGTTGTAAAACTCACCTTTATGGAGACAACGTTTCGCTCTGAAGGTTTTAACAAGTCGCTGCTTAATAAAGATTCATCAGTGGCATTACGCCGCTTGAATCCAAATCTGACCTCATTTAAACTGGTTGTATTGTAGCCCACGATGTCTGATTTTATTTAACTTGTAATAAATT